CAGTGCTCTTCACTGTTCTTTAGACAACAAGAACTCAATAATAAACCTGACATTAAATTTCGGATGTTTACGAATGAAACTTTCAAAGTCCTTAATCACTATTGCGCCAAGAGATACTGCTCCAACCTCACTGAAATACAAAAACGTGGTATGCGGAAGGTACGAGAGCTGATAAGATCGAAAAACATAAGACTATCGGTTAGTGATAAGGGTGGAGAGTTCGTTGTAATTCCCCATCAGTTAAATGTTGAGATAACGGAAAAGCGCCTTGAAGGTGCTACCCTTTATAGTCCGTCGTTCGAGAAGGAATTTAAAAGTGAATACCGAAAGCTAAACAACGAACGCGTTGAAACGGCAAGAGCGACTGGGTTAAAACCATCTCCCAACTCAAAGCTGACTTACTAACATGTCCCGTTCTGCCCTTACTTATCAAAACCAATAAGTTAGTATCCAGCGATGATCTCGTGTCTGCCGACCCATCGTTATTTAAGGTCAGACCTATTATTAGCTGTGCAGGCGGGCCAACGGATATAATAACGTGGTTTATAACCCTAATACTTACCCAGTTGTTAAAGTACATTCCAGCTCATCCAACGAACACCCAAATGTTCCTGGGTCGTCTACGTAACGCACGACCCAACAGCGCGTACGTGGTGGAGTCCTTCGACGTCACTGCCCTCTATACGAACGTGTCGAATGACTCCGCTATGCAAGCCATAAACGAGCTCCTTATACAACACTAAGCAGCAATAAACATATACGGCCTCTCGATTCAGCAGTTGATGACACTCTTAAAGGAGTACCTAAACTGCTCAATCTTCAGATGGTTCGAGATGTATTACGCACAAATGAGAGGGCTGGCAATGGGACAACGACTGGCACCAAGCCTTGCCATTGCATTCATGTCTAAGGTGGAAGCGCCAGTAATCGACCTCATTCCGTTACTCTATTGTAGATTTATAGATGACTGTTTGGTCATTTGTTTAACGCAAGAAGAAATCGACAGATGTTTCGAGTTGTTGAACACACAGTCAGAGTACATTAAATTCACCCGAGAGAAACCAAAAGAAGACTGGCTTCCATTTCTGAACGTGCAGGTTAACTTATCAGAAAACGACTGCATTACGAAATGGGATCGAAAGCCAAGTAATAAAAACATACTTGTTCATTACCTCTCCTCTCACCCTCTCACACGAAAAGAGCGCCTCTGAGAAATATCTTTCGAACAGGAACCAACGTATGCACGCGAAGAGAGCAGAGAGAGGAGTACCGGAACTTGGCAGGGCAAATAGCCATTTTTAATGGCCACGAAAATGTAGCTCGGGATAGGTGTACAGGAAACCCAACCCTCTAAACGGCAACTCTAGCGATAGAAGGGTTCCGTTTAACCTACCCTTCATCTCAAATAATGTAAGTACAGCTATAAAACGCTGTTTAAGAAGGGCCAGTCTAGAGAATTGGGTAACGATAATCGAAATACCACCGAGTAATCTAAGGCGCCAGCTAGTTCGTAACCGCTTATGCGACCGTCTATGTGCAACACAAAATTGCATAATTTGCCCCAATGGTAGAGACGGTGATTGCATAAGTTCGGGTGCAATCTATTTGATCTATTTAAAAGCGTGCGGAGACGAATACGTTGGCTAAACGGGTAGACCACTCTGCATGCGTATAAGAGAACACGTAGTCGACAGACGTAAACCAAATACTCCAGCAGGCACGTATAGAAAGCAGAGACATAACGGAGGAGATTTTGAAGTAGAAGTTACGATCCTCGCACAAGAATCGAGAACACGAGCGCGAGGAACTCTAGAGGTATTCTGGATTAATTCCAGGAATCCGAAAATGAACCGCAGGGAGGAATGCCTCCTTATCACGCGTGATACTGGGCAGTATATAAGCCTGTTATTTTGATGAGATGGGTACAATACGACTCCGTGTGAAGTCTGTGCGGTTGGTCTCCACGTAACATATTTAGTGTAAGACTCATAGAAAGCGATGAGTGTGCAAAAACTCTGTGTTCAATGTGATTGAAATTTTGGTTCAGCATTTTTCCTGTTTGGTTATGGAGATGTTTGACCGTGTAGATTGCAGTCAACTTGACCTTTCCAGGCTCTGAGGAAGGCGAAATCCACCGAAGCGTGAGCTTGTACGTAAATAAAGAAATAAGATAACACCTCGTGTTTGGTGAGCAGAAGTAGAAAGAATTCTTCACTGTTGTGTTCTTACGATTTATTGCAGCAAAAATTTTCTAAAAGTTATTTTGTTCGTGGTAAACTTCTTCACCCAATGTTTGTTCTGTGTAAGCTTAACAACCTTAGCGTGGTCCCAGGCTCGGCTTGCTACACATCGTCCTTAAGCAAGTGCTTCATGAATTTCTGCTACCGCAGAAATGGCTGCTGAAAGATTGCGAGTCGCAAGGATGCAAGCAGATATTCGATTCCCAGTGCCCGGTGAGTGCCTGTGGTGAAGACCTAACCGCGCCTCAGCAGGACTTTCTCGGATCTCAGGAAAAACTCTTGCCCGACCAGCATTCCACGTGTGAATAGAGCGTCGTGTCACATTTTCAAGTGGTACCCAAACTCATAGGCAAATCTATTTATTTTCGTGGGTGAATGTTCAACGACAACAAAACGAATGAAAGAAGTACTCGGAAGCGTACAATCAGACGATACCATATGAGTATTTATAAAAAGAATTGAATACTTTGCCTACCAAATTTAGCATTACGTAATAGAAACGGTCTGTTCTACTAATTATGGGTACGTACAGTGTTGGATGCAGATTGAACTCTCTCATTTCTTCGCGTATTTCGAAAACGTGAAAGCTAAAAGAAAGCTTTCGGCGTTGATCAATCTCTGAGGAATTCGCCATGCATACGACTTCATTAAGTATCGTTGGCGGTGATTTAACGCATATCTGGCCTTTACAATGACTCGCGGAGGCTTACCGATGAATCGACCCAGCGCTACTATTCTTCCAGACAAATCTGGTACCAATTTCCCGACCCCGAAGGCTTGGTGGGCCATGGGCGCAAGGATCGATTCCACGTGTGTGTTGCAGGGCGCCTCCGATCACCGCCACACGCGCCTTTCGAAAACATAGCTTTTTAAAATGAGAATAAAGTTTCACAAGTTTCATTATATTACACTAAGAGAGCTGTGGCAATTTTTTTCCACAATTTGTGGTAAAAAAAGCGGATAAATGTACCAGTGTGAAAACATGAAACTCTGAACTCTACTGATTTGTTCTTTGTTTTGTTCCATGTGGTTCTGCAATAGAAAATAAGCATGAAGCCTTATTCCCAAAGCTTTTTTTTAAAGATATCGATCCCACTTCACTTACCTACTGCCCAGTTTTTTTCGGTATCTTCTCTACAGTACTCATGAATTACGAAACTGGGTAAATCATCACTTCTTCCCTTAATCCACTGCTTTCTATCGTCACAAGGCCCTCTGGTTCTTCATCCTACAGGCCTGCAACTCTCTCAACGGTATTACCGCCTCACCGTGGCTGGGAGGTGTTCCTGCGTCTCGGGCTGCGATGTACTGCAGTAGGATTCATCCTTCCTGCAAGGTCTCCTAAACTGAGGAGTCCGGCGTTTCCATCACGAAGCCTAGCTAAGAGAAAACCAATACCAGGATCCACCACCGTCCTGGTATCAAACTAGTCACATAGTGGCAAATCTCCCTCTAATCCACAAGGACTGCAACTCTCTGTCGTGGTGACCACCTGGAACAAACTTTGGCCAGGCTATCCTCAGGATTCCAGGGAACCACAATGGCTTAACCAGCAAATTTCCAAAAAATGGTGATAATGCTGGGGCCCGCACAAATAGTGATGACGGGCCGTTCAAGTACCAAGTGAGTAATATCTTATTCACTTAGAAAAAAAAGCCATTGAATGTCGAACACCACAACCGTGTGAGTTTTGTGGATAAATGTACATTCTCATTGGTCAAACCAAAGCGGGTCAACCATTCCAACAGCAGTGAAAAGCCCCTACGTCTCTCTCAAATATTTACGAACCCAAAAAGCTTTTAAAAATCAGCTAGTAGGCATTTAGTAAACGATAACGAAAACATGCACACCTCGGTCACCATAAGTTTACTGTTCGAACTGAATGTCTATTCAATCACCTCTACTACGCTTATTGAAAAAGTGGAATAAACAGCTTATTCGTAATTGATCGATCAACTCCGTACACGCTATCTTTTATACTTCTACATTTGCTAAAACGACGAGATGCGAGATAGCTGTTTAATCCCTTCTCCTCGCGGTTGGTTTCCGAGAACTGGCTATAATTCCTTGATCACTTAAGTATTTCAGGACTTCACTTTCAAATTTAAATGTGGTTCGAACTAAGAGTTTTAAAAAATTGAAGATGTTATTTGTCTCAAGGTGTTCAAGAGAAGAGTGGCGAGACAATAGCAAATATAAACGGAACACTGATAACACCATCGTGTCGTCCTGGATGATCCCGCTTGCTCATTCGCCTTCGTGTTCGAAATATAAGTCTTGAATTGAAAAGTGGGATAATGGCATGTCGTGGGCCTGAGAAAATCAAGTATTCATAGTGGTGGAGCAATAGAACCATTATCCTATGAGCAAAGACTATTTAGACTCTAACAATTCTCATTGAAATAATGAGGATTACCGCAAGCTGAAATATGTTGCTCTGTCTACAGTTGAAAGGAGCCGCTATTTTCGTATCCTATGACTCCTATAGAAGTCACTTTGTCAACTAAGTGTTTGTGCCCATTGTCGTTCCGGCGACATTAGTGATAAAGACACTAGTGATAAGACAGGTTTTTGTTAGGTAATTTACACCTAACTTTAAAGATAAGAACTAGGTGATGTTCCAATAATACTTCACCTCCATCGCCACCATCCGGCAACAACTTCACCTTCAACATAACCAACGCCTTCGACAAACTTCATCGTCGTCCATTGCTGTCACCGCTTTCGTCAACGCTTCTGTTCAACTCCGAATCGCTCAGGATGCTTCGGTTATTCGCTGCGATCGTGCTGTTGATCAGTTCCGTCGAAATGCTGAAATTGCACGATGCGGTCAGAAAAGGATTTATAAAAACCTGACAAATTTATGCTTCCTACAGTAGATGTTTACAATTTATATTTTATCTCATCGTTCTATATGAAAGCGACGTTAAATTTTAGATGGTTGAGTAAGACTCGATGCTTTAGAATGTATTGGTCAGAATCGAAATGTTTAGGTATGTGCTGTTAGGATTTAAATGGCTCTACGTTTTTCGGCAACTGACATTTTCATGGATTATCTCAAACCCTTTTCTCCTTTCTCAACAAAACTGTGCAAGGTATCACCTGTAGCTCCGTTGATCGTTGAGTGACTCCAGCGTGCGCCAATAAATCTTCCATTTTTCCCTGTCGCGTGCATGAGTAGCCTAGTGTGTTCTGATCTAATGCATGGGTCCCAATGTGACATTCTTCAGACGTTCTTCTTGGTGCAATCTTGGCCTTGAAATCTCCAATGATGACCTTGAAGAATGTATGGTCTTCTCTGTAGAACCTTTCCTAGTCCACTTAGAACGCCTCGACTTCTTCTTCGTCATAGTTTGATGTCGGCGCGTAAACGACTTAGATTGTCAAAGCCGGTATTGATCCGCATCTCTTCAATCGTAAACGTCCGATTCGGGCTGCAAGTTGTTCGAATGAATCGATGTTCATGGACAAACTCGTGTCTTGACGAGAACGCCGACGCCGCCGACTCCTCTACTGTCGCATGTTCCGAGGAACAGTTCTTCTCCGGTGTCATAAGCGGCGTTGAATGGGTGGCGTCTTCTCGTCTCGGCCAGGCCGATGACGTCGTTCTTTATCCTTCGTGCGTATTTCCCTGTCACTTGATTGCAGGCTTTTGGTTGAATTGACTCGTGGAATGCAATCCGCATGAACTAGAATGCACCCACACACGCATGCATGAATACGCCTCGGAAATATAGAAAGTGTGTGCCAAATTGGCGCAGCAGAAACAAGGAGCCCATCCCCTGGGTCCACCCGCGTCTCAGGGAAGCAACGGTCGCTTTAGGTCCGCGATTAACCCCTATCCGCCACCTGGGGACGCGTCTCGTAGCCTCGCGACTAAGCGGCTCGAGATCCCTCATATGAGAGAGATTCCTGGACTGTATAAGGTAGGAGAAAAAGTAAGAAAAAATCCTTCAAAGGCAGTTTTTTTACCCTTTTGGGCATTAGACGTCAACGGCAACTAGAGGCTTATATTTGAACGAAACTTGTAGAAGAATCTAGTACTTGTCACTTCTAGCCTCGTCACCGCTTATGCTATTATTACTTTGTTCATCTCAAACTTTTATAAAGAAAATTAGAATAGAAAATGCACAGTTTTTTTCTCACCAATCTTCTTAAAACATTAAGTACAAAATGAAAAGAAATATTGTAGGCTCACTTTTATTCATCAGCATGATAACCAATAGACCTTTCGCTGCCGTAGTCGTCTGTACTGCCGCTACCTCTTTTCTGTTCCCACAATTAGCGCGCGAAGTTAGACAACAGTTGGTGAAAGAACTATAGGAATGCTGAGATATGAGCAAATTCGGAACCTCACTTTGAATTTAGCCCCTCTTGACTTCCTAAGCCTCCGTGCTACCCACCAGAGCAATCGGGACCTTTGCTTTGCTTTTTTCATAGCTCTTTTTTTACTTAGATGTTAGATGGTAGTATCTGCAATCAAGCATCAACACAAATGTTCTGGACAGCACAAACCGGCATTTGACCCAGTTAAGCTGAAGCTGCACTCGAGATCATAACATCTTAACTTTTACTCACTGTGTATTCTTTTCATTGATCGTTCCGGTTTCCTGGGTGTTCGCTGATAGTACCGAGAGAGTGAAAACTTGGTTAAGAGAACTACAAAGCCAAGGTGGTGTGCAGACAACACGTTGGCAACCGGCAAGGATGATCATAGGTTCGAAGCCCAACTGAGGCATCCAGTTTTCCTCATATCTCAGTGTTCTTGCCGTTGTACTTCACATCGTACCCTACTATGAAAAAAGCAGTTGAGTGTAAGTAAAAATCAAACCATTGCTAACGATAAGGTTTTTCGCTGACGTTAAATGTTATCATAAATTTTACCCATCTATGTCTTATTTCGATGAGTAATAGTAAAACATCGCGCTATTCTCTTCTATTATAAGGTGTTGTTCTCGCTATTAATTAAAAGTAGCCATAAAAGATGTTGTCTCTATCAATGCCAAGGGTAAAACTAGCGAAATTATTCTGCGAGGAGAAAAGTATTGACTTGACATCTCAAGGTAAGTCATTACTTAGGCCAACAGTTCATCCAATGATTTATAAGAAACAAAACAGGGGTGAACACGTGAACTAGAGTTCCTAAGCGTCAATACGAAGCGCCTTATCTTCCATTTCTTATGTGTCAATTATATTATCACTCTTAAGATTTCGAAATCGACGGTAGAAGTGATACGTGGTGCACGTCGTGAGCAAACAGCTCGTATGTGCACTTGCAAAGAGATGTCGGATTGTTTCGATTCTGTTAGCCAACAAGTTTTCGACTGTCTGGCGCCATGTTCTAACGAAATAAGCAAGGTACAAATTGTACTGAAACATACGCCAAACATAACTATGAGTAAAGTAAATGGGTGGGATGAGTAAAAATACGGTTTGTGTTGTTTGGAACAACGCCCACTTTCACAGTGGTGTATCGTGCCAGTGCGTTTGCAGATAGCCTGGGAGATGGGAATTTGCCACCCAACGACTAGGTTCCTCTTATAGTAGAGCCGACTCCTTACATTTGCTTTCTTTGCGATGGGTTTTTGGAATGAAATTTGAACTCACTCATTAGTTGAGAGTAGTGAAAGCTCTCGTTGTATGGGAATCGGATACTCAGGAACATCATTCGACCAAAGACAAAAGCTGAACGTAGGTGGATGGCTAAGAAAACTTCCACGGAAGTTCTGTGTCAACTGTATAAATTAGAATGCATTGTACCTTCTTCTAGGAGAAAAAAGAAGTAAAAACGAAATCCGTCATACTAGCCACTGTAGAAAAGCTCTTCGACATTGCAGAATTCTTCGAGAAAAAATGGTGGATGGCTGAAAAAATTTACTGCACCTTCAACAGCAACGCTAATTTCAGTACTTGTCGGTCCAACATCCGGACAAACTCCGTGTCTGTTTTGATAAGCCTCGTGGTTTTGTTGGCAACATGGTCACCTGCTTTCGTATAAACGTTAAAGCGTAAGTTTTGATGGTTCACGCCGCCATTTTAGACAAAAATTAGTTTACTCACAAAGAATAGTGAAGGAAATGATATTAAGAAAAACAACTGAAGATTGTTCCACGGGCAGACTGTCACAGCCTTTATGGTCATATTAATAGACTTATTGTCGTCTTTAAAAATCCTTGACGAACGACATTACAGTCTCTGACGAGATAAAACTTTCTTGTATTTACTTGCTTACGCGATGGAGTTGAATAGTCCTTCTTCACGAATCGCCAACAATGTTGGACAGTTCGCAGCACGAATTTCATTTCAGTGGTACAATAATTTGTAGCTTTACAATTTTAACTTATTATTTGCCGCCTACTCTTTTTAACGGCAGGCTATACACTGTGAAATATAACTTCAATGATGCTGAGATATTTGCAAAATTCCGGACCGCAGGTGTATGCGGTGGGGAACGAACGAACTATTGTCCTTTCTGGGGAGTAACGCCTTCACCATCACACTAGAGACTAGCTTTGAGACAGGCGAAACGAAGGACTTGCGTGGTGTGGTGGTGAACGCGCTACTCCCCGGAAAGGACAATAGCGCGTTCGTTCCCCACCGCATACACCTGCGGTCCGGAGTTTTGCAAATATCTCAGCATCATTGAATTTGTAGCTTGTTCATAATTTTTCTTCACTGGAATCTCGAAAGCCGTATTGTTAATATTTTATGTCATCCCCACTTGGCAGATAGCCATTGTTTTGTAGCCAGAATTGCAACAAATCCTGGCTTACTTTTGGCTCTGGTTTCAGACGCAAATGTCGAGTTCCTTTTAAGCTTGAGAAAGCTTAGTTGGAGAAAGAACATGGGTCGTACGTCCTAGAACCAGGCACACCGGTCAACCGCGATGGATAAGTGGGAGGACGATTGCTATTATCACTAGTACTTTTTGTAGCATGTAGCCCAAAAGTAAGAAATGCACAGCAATATATACATGGTCACTGGTTCGAACATGGACACAGGGCAAAGCAAATTCCCCATTGCTTCAAAGTGAGAAAATCCCTGGGGTAATTAAAACAGAAGCTTGTTATATCGAAAAGCCATCATCGATCACTGTTTAAACGCGGTATAAATTTAGCCGTGCATGACGGAGTGAAACGCACAGCGCATCGCAGCAAGGATTGATCAATTCCGATCGGTTCAGCCTCTCACTTCAACCTTTAGCTATACCTCTCCACATTTCAAAACATGGGATGTCGGTCTTGAATAAAATTGCACAACTGCTCGCTGATATTTTTTGACGACAGACTTGCCGTCGGTATGATTACAGGACAGGGAACTCGTCCGTGTTCATTCCATCGTGTGTCCAGATATTATTTTCACCATCATTTTCTTGAGCATCAATCAGTGTTGCACACACGTGTGTGGTGCTGACTGCTGTGGAACGAACATCCTTAATTCCGCAATATCCCTTTTTTAATGTTTAACGTTTTGTTTTCTGCCTTCTATAATTTTCATGGCAGGTTACTAAGCGGAATACAACCACAACGTTGCTGAGATATTTGCAAAACTCTGGACCGCAGGTGTCTATGGTGGGGAACGAACGCGCTATTGTCCTTTTTCCCTTTTTTATTTCATACGATTCGTCACATCTACTACGCGGATTCCAGCACTCCCTAGATTCGATTCGTTTCCTCACAACATCATTCCCTCATATCCATCACTCACGAAGTCCTCCATTTTTTCCGTGCAATTCCAGCCGTTGTTTGAATATTGCCGCCTTCCTTTTCTTCCTAAGGGATTGCCAAATGGCGAACAGCATCTAAGCCATCCTTTATAAATCGAAGCAATGTGGAAGCCCTTATGGCACATATAGGTTTTCCGAAGGAAATCTTTTAAAAACGATAGTTTATTTATGTTGTAAAAAGATCCGTACATGAAAGATGTCCAATGGATGACACAACATATTGCTGTGGAGGAAGACCCTTGCACTCACAACCATGTGAATTAACTGAATAGATGAGTGTTGCCGTGTAAGGCAATCAGTCCACTTCTGTAGCGTTAGCGATCCAAGTTCGACTTGTTTCATTTAATACATGAATCATTCAGTTTTAATGGTTCCGTGCTCCCATTGAAAATATCTGGCAAACATTAAAAAATTGCTGATATGGACATAGATTCACCATGGAATCTCATTGTTACTGGTTAAATTTAAATAAATATCCACGTAGGAATTTCCAAATAAACGTTTCAGAGGATCAACTAACCTTGTCAGTTCGTCGTTTTCTATCTCAGCAATCGCGAGCTTGTTAAACAGCATACGTTTACTTCCATACAATAACACACAACCTCCACACACAACACAACCGTGGCTGACATTTCGGCAACATCGCCTTCTTCAGAACTGCTTTTATGTGCCTTCCACTGAGGAAGAGCCCCTGATCTGAGTCGCATATGGTTGACGACTCAACTAACCCTATTAATGTAAAGGATCTTTCTCTTGCTATTTATACATATCTGTTGACTATTCGTAAATATTTTGTAAACAAATTTCCCGAAAAAGTTTCTGAGGTTTAAAAGTTAATGTATGCTGACTATACTTTAGATGTGTAAACAATGAAGAGCAAGCGAGGCAAAGACAAGCGAAGACCTACGATTACCAGGTCATAGTTAGACGCTTAGAAGGCGTCATCACCAAGCAGATTCAGATGTTCCTCAATGCAATTGGCACAAGCAACATCAAGGTAACTCGCTTAAACGTTGATATAAAAGTTTGATGCGTTTTCTTCCTCATAATTGTCCCGCAGACAGCGTTAAATATCTCTTCCTTTTGGCAGTAGCACGAATAAAGACCAAATCCCTGTTATTTCACTGTCGTTGATCAACACGAAGCAAAGCGTAGTTCATTTACCCGCTGTTGAGGCGAGTCGCCTAAGGCGAAGCCAAAGGTCATTTCGAAGGCGGCAGCCAATGGTAGGCGATCGTGTATGTATCCACATTTCCACATATTGGTCATAGGTCGAGCAGAAATACTTATCTCGTTGAGCAGCATTTATTAATCCACAATATATAACGTTTCGCAGTTTAGAACCTGCTAAGGACAAATCGACGCGCAATGTACTCAGCCAGACTTTCATAAATTCAGTGGATAGAAATCTATGCATAGATTTTTATTCGCGTAATTAACATCTTCTATTAAACACTCACCACTGTATTCTCTCTAAGTGTTCCTGTTGCTTGGTGGAGACCAGCCGCACACAGTTTTACATGAGCAAGAAATGTACCTAGCTCGCACAAAAAATCTCTCTGAAGTATGGTGCGAGGTCATACTTGAGGGCACTCCTCCATGCCGTTCATTCCTGGTTTTTGTAATCCATGCATGACGATTTAAGAGTATCACACGCTGATGCCTTAGGTTACTCTGCAAGGATAGTGACTTTCTGTTCAAAATCTTCTTCATTATGTTTCACTCTGTCACACACAAAAAGGACGCCTGTGCGAAACACGTTTCAGAAAGCCACCAATGTGTGCACAACAAGAGTGCAAAGGAAAGAATTCCTGAAATTAACATGGCAAATTGCCAGTTTTATTGGCTACGAAACTTCAGCTTCTCGGGATAGGTGCAGGGGGAAAACCACGCCGTCAAACGTTAACTCTAGCGAGAGAAGACTTTCCGTTTATCCGACTCTTTGCTTCCAAAGAAATAAGTCCGGCTATAAAGCGTTTCTTAAGAAGAGCCGTTCTGCAGAATTTAGTTACAGAGGTAGAAATACCACTAGACACTCTAAAACCTTAGCCAGTTTGTAGCCTTCTATATGAGAATCTGTGTATAACGGTTTGCATGAGTTCGGGTGCGGTTTACCCGACCACTTGTCAGCAGAAACGAAAATGTTGGCGAAACGGGTAAAACGCTGTGTTCGTGTAAAAGACCACCTAGTCTCTAAACTTAAAATAAACCAAATACTCTACTAGACGATTATAGGACACTGAAATAACATAACATAGTAACAAGCGATATTTCGAAGAAAGTCTTCTATCCTCTACAGGAATCCAAAGCATTCGGTGCGCTTAAAACTCTTGAAACGCTATGGATAATTTACGAAAATCCAAAAATCCTTGCTCTTTTAAGACTGTACGACTGGTATCCATCAAATAACTGATAGGATTACAATGAACAAAATGGCGACTTTTTTAAAAAAGCTGTTTATTATGCGAATGGAAATTCATGTGCTATGTCTCAGCTGATAGGGTTGTGAACGTGTTTAACTGAGTGGATTGTGTGTCAATTTGACCGTTCAGGGCTCTGAGGCAGATGAAACCGCCGAGACATTATCTGTTGTGGATTAATAAGTGATCCAATACCAACGTCATCTTTGCTCTTCACCAAAAACTGATTAATTAATCAATGCCGAGGTTAAAAGAAAGTCAGTCTTGGGATACTGAGACATTTGCAAAACCTCGGACTGCAGGTGTCTGCGGTAGCGATCTAACCAGCTATTACCCATTCCTTAGGCTAACGCGTTCACTACCATACCTTTCTAGTTTCACCACCATACCGTCCTTCGCTCCTCCTCTCTCTTTCAAGTTTACTCTCTGCTTTACTGGGTTCAATGCCAATTCGCGCACCCCGGATCAATCTTATTGACGAGTGATAGCCGATGGTTGGTGGATAGAAAACTACCTGAGAGACAGGCGAAACGAACGATTCGCATGGTGTGGTGGTGAACGCGTTTGCCTTCGAAAAGGGTACTATCGCGTTCGTTACCCACCGCAGGCATATGCGGTCCGTAGCTTCGCAAACGTCTCACCGTCACTGAGATGCTTTGTTTTGATATTAGATACTTATGAATGTGTCGTTTTCTTGTTCAGCAATCGCGAGGTTTTTAAACAGCATACATTTACTTCCATAGAAGAACACAATACAATACAACGCTAGCTGACGTTTCGGCAGTATCGCCTTCTTCAGAGCCGCTTTTTCGTGACTTC